TAATTTACAAGTTTTAAAAAAGCAAAACAAAACATCAACATATTTCCAAATCAGAATTTTTCCTTTGATGTTTTTGGTCAAGCTTCATTATCTCTTAAACTTAAAAAACAACAAATAGTCTGGTAGCGCTTTATAGACTAACAAAATATGAAGATGGAATCATGAGCTTTCGTGGGCACAGCCCACTTCTTCAGATGACTGGAGAAAATACTTTCACACTTACACACATCCTACACTTACACCAAACAATTCTGCAGAGTTTCAGACAAGATTAATAGTTACTAAAGGAATAACAGAAAGAAAGGAATCTTGCACAACTTCGTTTGTGATGCAGACAAGGAGTCCAGCTTAATTTGTAATGCTAATGGGAAGCAAGACCTTACAGGAAACATTGTCTAATCATAGAATACTAGAACTTGAAGGGACCTTGAGAGAGCATCAAGTCCAGTCTCCTGCCTTCATGGCAGGACCCACCATGGTCTAGATAATCCCTGATAGATGTCTGTCTAACCTACTCTTAAATATCTCCAGTAATAGAGATTCTACAACCTCCCTAGGCAAGTTATTCCAGTGTTTAACTACCCTGACAGTTAGGAAATTTTTCCTACTGTCCAACCTAAACCTCCCTTGCTGCAATTTAAGCCCATTGTTTCTTGTCCTATTCTCAGATGCCAAGGAGAACAATATCCCCTCCCTCCCCACACACACACCTTTGTGTCACCCTTTTAGATCCCTGAAAATCACTATCATGTTCCATCTCAGGTTCCTTTTTTCCAAACTAAACAAGCCCAATTCCTTCAGTCTTGCCTCATAGCTCATGCTTTCTCCTTTAATCATTTTTGTTGCTCTTTTCTGTACCTTCTCCAATTTCTCCACATCTTTCTTGAAATGTGGTGCCCAAACTGGAGACAATACTCCAATTGAGGCTTAATTATGAGAGACAGGGTGAAATAGAAGTATACAGAACTTACAAGCAAGTCATTATATATTAAATCATTATGTATCATACTTATATTCTTCTAACCAATACTAAAATAAACATTTTTGTTACAGATGGAGGGGAAGCTCATGCCTCCTTTCATTCTCAGGTCTGCTTATCCTCAGACACCATTGTGTACTGCCTTCGATGCTCCTGGTTCAGACCTTTTCTCCTTCTTCAGTGTTCCTGGCCCATTCAAAGTAGCACTCTGGCTAGCGAGCTGAGCCTTTTCAGATACAGATACAAGAACTTGCCTGAAAAGGGAAATTCATCAGCAAAGCTAAAGCATAACAACTATTATGCTATTGCTATTCTGATATTACTCATTTGGGCTCACACTTTATTCTGGAATAAAAGTGACTTTATTCTGGAATGATTACTCTGTTTTTATTGTTCTACAACTGTGCTGGTCAATTTCATCATGTATACAAAACCCAAGAGGTCATAAACCATAACTGAGGACTGAATGTGAAGCTAGAATATATACATGTCAAGCAAATAATTATAGAAAGTGCATACATAAAACTAGACTCACTTCTTTTAGAAATGAATTCCCAGAACAATAATAAAAAAGAAAGCTCATTAATATATAGCCCTCCAAGATGTGCGTATAACTACCTAAATACATTTCCTTGTACTTCCTCTTCTTTTTAAACTTTCTTTTTAGTTTGTTAGGTGTCTTGTCTCCTCTTAAATTTTAATATGTTCACTGCAGGAACTGGTTGGGGAGGGGGGCTAGGATAACCAGCACACTTTTTGAGGTATATAAATAACAGAATGTGGAACAATCTATCAAGTCAACATTACAAATAGTGTACATCAATCCAAAATGCAGGGAGTAGTGAATCATTCGGGACAAAGGAATATCTGATCCAAAATTTAATCCATAATTAAATAAAACCGATTCAAACATTTGGGGTTGGAAGAGTTTATTTAACTTCTTGTAGGTATGTATTTTCTGCTGCATTTCCTGGTTTCAGACAAAATTAGAAGAGGAGGAGTCAATATCCTATTACAAAGAGTGTTTATGGGGTATTTGTGGCCAGGCTGGAAGTGTGACTAGCCAAAAACCTCATAAAAATGTTCTCATATGAATTGGAGTCCAATTATATGAAGAAAAGAAAGCAAAACTTTAAGGCCTCTTATGCAGTAAAGGGGAAAGTCAACTTAAGATACACAACTCCAGCTATGTTAATTATATAGCTGGAGTCAAAGTATCTTAAATTGGGTTTTGCAATGTCCAAACAGCGGAAGGTCAATGGAAGCACACACTTGTATTGACTTCCCTTACTCCTTGCAAGGAGCAGGAGTACTGGCACCAACAAGGGAGCACTCTCAGTTCAAATTCACACCCCAGAAGATCGACTGCAGCTGTGTCCATCTCTGTTGTGTAGTCAATCCCTAAGAGTACTTTTTCTGAACTGAAACATCTAACCTTTGATGATCTCCCCTCAGTACAAAAGAAAGAGGAAATAAGGTGTTTAGGGATACAGAAACTCACTACACTCTGGAGATTATGGCGAAGACATATCAGTGCTATTTAACTATTTGGTTTGATTTGTAATTGTAAGAATTTGTAATTCACAGCTATCAGTTCTCCACAACAACAGGAATAGACTGCTCCAACAACCACTAATAAAAATCATAATAAATCCCAATTTAGTAGCAACCCAGATCAAAGTAAAAAAGCCTCCAAATGCCACCCACACCTTACCAAAATATCCAAGAAAACAGATGGGTTTTGCAGCTGTAGTCAATACTGTAAGTTTATTGCATAGATTTAAAGTAATAAGGGCTCTACTTTTAGCTGAGTGGAGCCATACGTGCTGGAACTAGGGCACTACTGCACCCCCTGGCCTGAAGTGGTTTCCATTATAAACAGAACTTGCAGTTTGGTTCAATGGTTCTCAGAACCTCCACTGTGCAAATTATTCCAACACCCCTAAGTGGAGGTTTGCTCATTTCAAAATGAATGTTTACATGTTCAGACCCTTAGCTTCCAGAGGTTACTCTTCTGTATGAAACATGAAGGTTGCCATACACTAGAAATCAGTGAATTCTATGTAGTCCTTACAACACAATTTGGCCTCTATTACCAGGACAAAATATAGGCCCAATTTCTGAAGGATGAGCGTCTCCAAGAAGTGCAAGTACCCTCGATTCCATCAAGATCCACGTTAACAAAGGCTCTCTGTTGCCACACGGGAACAGTTCGCATGATTTTAACAAATGTAAAGGAAGCCAGAGGTCTTCAGATAAATAATCTAAGTTATCTTTAGATTCAAAATCTAAAGAATCCTTCAAAAAGAAGGGGGAGTTCAGAAAAGGGCAACTAAAATGATAAGGGGTTTGGAACGGGTCCCATATGAAGAGAGGCTAAAGCCACTGGGACTTTTCAGTTTAGAAAAGAGGAGACTGAGGGGGGATATGATAGAGGTATATAAAATCATGAGTGGTGTGGAGAGGGTGGATAAAGAAAAGTTATTTATTAGTTCCCATAATAGAAGAACTAGAGGACACCAAATGAAATTAATGGGTAGCAGGTTTAGAACTAATAAAAGAAAGTCCTTCTTCACACAGCGTATAGTCAACCTGTGGAACTCCTTGCCAGAGGAGGCTGTGAAGGCTAGGACTATAACAGAGTTTAAAGAGAAGCTAGATAATTTCATGGAGATTAGGTCCATAAAGGGCTATTAGCCAGAGGATAGAAGTGGTGTCCCTGGCCTTGTTTGTTAGAAGCTGGAGAAGGATGGCAGGAGACAAATCGCTGATCATTATCTTCGGTCCATCCTCTCTGGGGCACCTGGTGTTGGCCACTGTCGGCAGACAGGCTACTGGGCTAGATGGACCTTTGGTCTGACCCAGTACGGCCGTTCTTATGTTCTTATGTAAAATGAGGATCAATACATTCCCAGTGGCACTTCCAAACAGGGAAGTGGGAATGAAGGGTCGTCTTGGGGCTAAGATACTGGGTTATGACTTAAAAGAGCTGAGTGCAAATTAGAGCTCAGCTACAGGCTTCTTGTGCAACCTTGAACAAAACACTTAATCTACTCTGTGCCTCAGTCTCCCTTTTGTAAAACAGCATGCTGTGAGGATAAAATTGGTCCATGATTGTAAGGCATTCAGATAGCATGATGATAAAGGCAAGGTAAGAACCTAGATAGAAGAAGGTGAAGGAGCTCAGTCTTTAGACAGAGAAGAGTGGGGAGAGATGTTTTATATTGGTAAGGTTGTAATTGGCCCTAACAATGGGTAGCTTGTTTTATTGTCAATATAACACATACATTATTCTCAGTTACTCTCAAACGTCTCATTATCTGTTAGCTAGTTTTCCCACAGGCATCCTGGCACCAATGTTACAAGGGAATAGGCAATAATCCTGGAAGAGCATTTATTTTCTCTTCTTCATTGAGATTGTGTTATCTGATTGGATTACTTCACTTAGGATGCTTCTCTTTCACACAGCTTATTGGGGTTAATTGTAACATCATGCTCTTGACAAATTAAAAATGACATCCGGGTATATATGCAGTATGGTCATCAGGAGAGTATATATGTATTATAATATGTTACAAGTATTATATTTATTATCAGAAGATATATCTTGGCAAGTTGTTTATGACATCAGTGAAGAGCCAAAAATAAAATAATAAAAATCTAAATGTTAGTAATTCATCTTAGGGTTAGCATAAAAGCTGCAACCTTTAGGATAGAAAAATCTGCATGTTTACAATTTTACCAGCATGTACCATTGCAAGGCTTATTTATTGCCTTTCTTAAAACTTCACCCTGTGAAATATTATCAGCACGTGCAGCTGCTTTGCCCAGCATCCTTTACAAACGAAAATCATAATTAAAAAAAAAACCCTAAGCCCTCAAAGTGATAAAGCGAGAAAGCTGGGTTTTATGTATAAAAAAGACCCTATTTGGTCTGCCCTCTTTTGCTGTTGCTACCTTGCAGTTTATGACATCTAGCTAGTGGGAGGTCTGACAAACTGAACAAGGCAGTGAGCAAGAAATTACATTCCTGTTGAAATCAGTAATCCCTTTGTGGAGACTGCTACGTCTAGTTTGTGTGATTTCTTTCGTGTCACTTGGAGGTGGGCTCTATGGTTATTGTTATTATTTTAAATATAGCTTGGGGAGGGGGGGATGCACAGGAACAGAGACAGCAAGCTGCCCATCTCTCAGAAGAAAAGAACAAGATTCACAGCACAGGAACTGGCATCACTCTAACATACAGAGTAGAAGTCAACAAAGCTGTACTCAAAATCATTTTTGTAGAGACTGAAAAGAAAGAAGACAAAAGTGGATAACACAGTAAAGGATACAAGAAATCAGGGTATAAAGTGACTCTAATGCACTTTGAGTGTGGGCTCTGAAGTACAATGTAAGTCTTGCCTTATCTTGTATTTTTAAAAACTGTTAGTACATAATAATTTTATTTCTATTTTCAAGCCATGCTGGGCCAAAAAGTAATTATTACAATTACATATTAAAATCAATATGGAACATTACTTGTAATCTTGGTATGAGACTTAAAATGATATTGTCATATGACAGAAGTCAGAGACTATCAACTGTAATATCGAAGATGAACTATAAGTAACAACATATCTAATTATTGTGAGACTAAGATGCTGAATGGAATCTTTAATCAACTTTCTTAATACAGAGTGCAAAGAGTTCTCTTGCTTTGTATAGCAAGCTACTTTCATACTGCTGTGTTTAAAACTGTGTGATTACAGTTACCAATAGCAATAGGATGTAGCTACAAAAGGGAATCCTGGTGGATGCAAAAGTTTTTTGGCCAATGTTTTTCCTCTCTGAAGCCTCCAGTCCACATTTTCTAGCCTGTGAGTTTTGCTTTTCAACTGGATTTTTTAACATATGCAGCGATTGGACTCCACGTGGAACTGAAAACAAAAGTATCTGAGGATCCAGAATAACTCCATCCATTTTCTCAGTGTTATGTTAAAGATGAAAATACAATCAATCATAAAGAGTACCTCCTTTTCATCAGCTTCAGCTTTGAACAACAGAGGAATATAAAGCCTGATGGTGACAAAGGGTTATAATTTTTTGTTTTTTCACTGTACATCTGCCCCGGTTTCAGACTTAGCAATGGATAGTCTTTGTGATGAGGAGAACCCAACTGTGAATTCTTTAATCCAATTAAATCATGAAAGAAGATTCTACACAAATGTTTTTTGGCCTGGAGAGGTTAATACATCTCATCTGTTTAATTTGACTATGGACTCCGAAAACCTAACTAATCTTTCATGTGACGGTAGAGTGACTCCACCGTGCCATTCCTCACTATTTCATCTTTCAGAGAAAAACTGGCCAGCTCTGCTGACAGTTATTGTGATTGTTCTAACCATTGCTGGAAATATTCTTGTTATCATGGCTGTGTCACTGGAGAAAAAGCTACAGAATGCCACTAATTATTTTCTAATGTCACTCGCAATAGCTGATATGCTGTTGGGTTTCCTTGTCATGCCTGTGTCAATGTTAACCATACTGTATGGTAAGTATCACTAGTCTAACCTATTACACGTATTGAGTAGCTTTTAAAAAATTGTATGTGCACACTGTTATTATTTCAGCTTGATAAGGAAAATGTAAATATATGCTAGTTTTAGGGTATTCACTTGCCACCTCCCTATGCAAGGTGAAAAATAACTATAGAGGTAAATGTATATAAAGAACAGATGAAATATGTATGTGTTTATTAACTTTTAACTTCTAAGAATGGACATTTTAAACAGTCCAAAGTGGCAATTTACCACTTTGATTTTTATGGAATTGTTTTATAATTTCTCTTTTGAATCAATGTTGTCTTTGACACAGTTTTCAGTGTATCTATTAGGGAAGTAACTTCCTGTCAATTAATTTCCTCTGCAAATATGCAAAGAAACATTAATATCTTGATACTCTCTGTTTAAAATAGCCTGCCTCTACTTATTTTTTTATTTTTTTAAATCAAGCATTGCAATTTTAAATAATTTTCTTTCCACTGTGATCCTTATTTATATGTTTATCTTTTAAATTTTATTAGCTACTATGAAATGTGGAAATAAGTGTTTCTTAAGGAGGCTGAAAAGTGAATAGAGTTAATGGTACTCAACTGCTAGCAACATTTACCAATTAACAACCAAAATATCAAGACATTTGTTTTTTATTCTAATGAGTAGTTTGAAAATGTAAACTGAATTGTGACACTGTTTATTGTGATAGGTATTGGAAGTTTGTCATTTTGATCAAAATCCTTAGTAATCCCTGTTACACAGCAGAGACGGTTGAAAAGCAGCAGCCTAATAGTTTTTCTTCAAAACTTACAAAACTACCTATTGCCATAATACAAGAAGAGAAGAGCTATGAGATTAAATAGCTTTTAAGCCTGTTTCAATAGGCTAAATCATCCACCACTAAACTGTAACTTTAGGATGATTTTATTAGGAAACAGTAATGTAAGAGTATGCTGCTTTTTTCACTTTGCCTGTGTGTTGCAGACAAACTACCTCAATGGTATTATCACATTAGGTTAGTAATTGGCATGGGACTGTGACTGATTTTATCAGTAGTATCATTACCTTTGGTAATAGGGAAGCTAATCCAAAATAGTGCCATAGAAGCAGTAATTGCTTGTTTTGTGAGATAAAAGTGAAAGACTCAAGCTCTGGATGGTTCAATGACACATGCAATAGGGACTCCTGCTGGCCAATCCCTGCCCCTGCTCAGAAATTCATAAGGAGCACAGAGCTTCACCTCCTTCTCCTGGTGTGTGAAGGCTGCAAAAGTATGAAGACATTCATTTATTTTAATTGTAGTATTTACATGGTCAAATGCACCCTTACTACACACACAGCAATAGGAGGGCAGCTGCATGGTCACTGCAAAAGAGAAAAACTCCATTCTCTCCATTTGACAGAGGAAGGACTCTTGGTTTGCTTCTGTTTTTCTCTCCTCTCCCCAACCCATTGCACTGCAATGTCTTTTGCCAGAGGAACAATGCCTTTCCAGGATACATGCATTTGAAAAATCACTCTGTCATTCTGGCATAAGCTTTCCTAGAAATGCAGCATTAGCCTGATACATTATCAGCATCACAATGACCAGCAAATAGTTGATTCTAGAAATCCCTCCCTCTTCCAGCGGAACTAAGAACTTGACCCCAACTACCAGGGGCAAAAGGTCAGGAATCAGCGCAATTTCAGACTTCCATTAACTTGTGATCATCTTATCCCATCCATTATAGCACTTCTTGTGCTGTTTGCACTGAACAAAACCCAGAAGTCATTATGGCCCAGATCCTCAAAATCAATGGGGATTAGGCACAAAAATACCTTTGATAATCCTGGCTTGATTAACTCAATCCTAAAAAGTGTTGGCTCCTTCAAATCCTATCCTTGAGGCATTCAGCATCTGGAGAATTGCTCAACTCTACATCAGGCTATTAGAGTCTCATCTAATTCCACATTACGTCAGTAAGAGTTTCATCATTGGTGTAAGTGGGAGCAAAAATGATCCTTGAGGTCTAAATGTCTCCTTTATATTCAAATTAATAGCACCCAGATCAAAACCCCAGAATACAAACACACTGAACTTTAGAGTGTTACTGAAATGGTTGAAAAACAGGTTTGAATGTGGCTTGGGACTCCGCTTGAAGTGTGTGTATGTGTATGTATGTGTATTAATATACATAGTATATTATTTGTATTTCAGTATTGACTAGGACCTAAACAGGATGTCTTTTATACTAGTGCTATGCAAACATCTAGGTTTAAAAAATGGCCATTCTCTGATTTTCTGTATATTCATACTCCCAAAATCCATTAAAGAATGTTAAGGTTACAAAGTCAAGGATTAAAAAGATAGAAAAGGACAAAAATTAATTCTGCCCCTGCAACTTTAACTCAACCTCCTTGTACATAATTATTACAACAACATTTTGTCCAACATTCCCTGGGAAGTCTATTGCTTCAGCTGAAGGAGTAATGGGTAGAAGCAGCAGTAGCAGGAATTTTATTGTCTATTGGAGCCAGCCACTGCAGAAGAATGTGACTTTTTTCCAATGTTATATAACTGTTTGCTGGACAGCAAGGGAATATTGGGAATCCATAAACTTGGATTATATTCCTGGCTGTGGAGAGGATTGTGCACAGTCAAGTGCATAAATTTTGCACATCAATTCAGAAAAGAATTGTGGATGAAACTTAGGTCTACTATATTGGAAATTTAGGACTAACTGTGGTCCCCCAGATGGTATGGAAAGACGGTATGGGATGCACGTTGACCACTTGGGGAATTCCCCCTGGCCCAACACTTCACACTCTTCCAACCCTCAGCATAGGGGCATGCCAGGTGAAGGAGGTGAAACTCTGTGCTCCAGCAGTTGTGAAGAATCTTATGGGCATCTGTGTAAGGCTGTAAATTAGAGCAGCCTTTGGGACTCCTAATTTATGCTGGGGATGGAACCAACTCTTAGATCAGCCCAGACTCTGGGAGGCACAAAGCTTGCTTAAAATCAGCTTTCCTTCCCATTTCTCCATACTAGACTTTCTGAGAAGCACAGCACAGAATCTGGAATCTTGGTTCCACTCCCAACTCTGTCATAAAAGAACTTGTGATACTTCTCAGATATCCCATCTATAAGATAGAGGAACGATACTTAGGATCATTCAGGATGTGGCAGGCCTTGTTTATTAATAAGGGCCATAAAAAGCTGAGACTAGAACTTCATGTCTTCTCCTAGCACTCAGCACAGCTTCCCTAGCATAGAGCACATTGAAACAGGCCGGAGACCTCTCGCTGCTCCAGCCAAGAAAGAGGGAGAACAGAGGAGTTTTCCCTAAGGTTTTAGCAGAAGAGGGAGCCATACTCCCTTCTGCTTCCTCTCACTTTATACACTTTGGCTAGTATTTTCAGACCAAAAGCTGAGAAACACTTCAGAAAAATTAGGCCAATCTCATTCCCCTTCTAACCTGTCATGTTAGCAGGACAAGATGGGAAAACTGGCACTGCCCCTGCTCAACCTCCCTCCCCCAACAGGTCCTTCAAATACCAGACACACTTTAGGAAACTGTCCTGTCCCACAGTGATGGCAGTAGCTGCTGCTATTACTTCCACATTATCCCCATCTGATGCTCTAATTCACTGCCCGGGACTTTCAGTGTGGCTATCACAGAGAGAGAGTTGTGGGACTGCAGCATGCTCAGTGCACATGGAACTTTCAGAGATTTTAGCATCAGGTCTTGCATAAGCTCTACAAAGCATGAGCAAACAGCAATTTTCTTATAATTTGGTCACATCTTTTTTGCATGGAAAACAAAATGCACTTCTTTGCTCTCAGGCCCAATCCCCCATTAAATTTAAGGTTCCTGCTCTGAACTGTGGTGGTGCTAGAGTTCTTCAAAGAAAACTGGAAAAAATGTGTTTACATTGAGAAAACTACATATTTTTCTCTAAAATCTTTTCCAGAAAAGGAAACACTGAGGCAGAAAGCAAGCCAAGAACAGCTCAGTTCAATGGTCAAGTGTGGTAAAGTTATAATCAATAGTAAAATCCATCCTTTTATACTCTTCTTTCTTTTTTGTAGGATATACATGGCCTCTGCCTACAAAACTCTGTGCTGTCTGGATCTATTTGGATGTGCTTTTCTCCACTGCCTCCATCATGCACCTCTGCGCCATCTCTCTGGATCGCTATATTGCCATACGAAATCCCATCCATCACAGCCGCTTTAACTCCAGAACTAAAGCTTTCGCAAAAATAATTGCTGTTTGGACCATATCAGTTGGTAAGTGAGGCAACATTCTGACACATACTTGTAAATTTTGAAATACTTATTTGTGGGAAATTTGACACATATATTGCAGATTAAAAGTATATCCTGGACTGCAAGATTTTGTTTGCCATAATATTAGATGTGGCATAAGGTAGTAATTATTTGATAAAAATCACCAGAGACACTGGCAAGTGGAGAAATATTGAGCAGCCCTATGCAGTGAAAGAATGCACAATAAAGTTAAAATAGTTGTAGTCAAGTTTCTTCTACAGATGTGCATGTTTTCAAGGTTGATATCCCTACCTTCTTGACACCAGAAAAGAGCAATAGATAATGGCTGAAAAAAGATCTCTCTCATTTAGCTAAAATTCAGTTGTTCCTGCCACCACCTTACCACTATTATTTGTTTGCAGATGAGTGGATTTTTGGGGTGTGTGTGTTTGTTTTTGGAGCACATCGTATCTGTTCCACCTTGGTCACCAAGGTTATGAGACACCATGGTCTAGTGCAAAGCCACTGCCACTGAGTGGGTAGAATCTGGACCTTTGTGCCTAGCAGTGTGAGGGGTTCCTCCTGGATCTTGAGTGTCACCTACCCACCTATGTGCACAGAATGCACAGAAAAGTGCACATTTTGAATTGTATTACTCATAAATTCACAGGAACATAGTAATTGTCAGACTGAGTCAGGCCAGTGACCCATATAGTCCAATATTCTGACTAACAGTCGCCAATACCAGTTGTTTCACAAAGAAGGCAATTGTGAAATTAAATGCTCACATAGAAAACTTCTTCTTGCTCCCCGTTAGAGGTTTGTTTATGCCCTGAAACACAAGGGAATAAGTCCCTTTCAAAATTCTTGGAAGGATTTTTGTTTCTTTGTTTCCTTTCTATCATTCAGTTTCAAGAGTTATGAACACCCATCGTGGCAATAGAAAGCACTGTACAAATAAAAATTTCAGTAGCATTTAACCATCTAGAGTGTTTCCTCCCACTCACGATCCGTATATCCACACATTTGCTATGTTGTGATAGTGTACTAATAATGACTGATAATATGTCCTTTATTCTCTGTATAAGATTATGTCTATGTTTATTAGAAAGCAGTGAAGTATGGCATGATTCTAAATGATAGAATCTTGCTTTATGCAGCATTATAGCTAGGATATTAGAAAGACTATGGGTGAAGCAATGTCTTTTATGGCACCAAATTCTGTTGGTGAGAGAGGGGAGCTAATTTTGAAATACTTATTTGTGGGAAATTTGACACATATATTGCAGATTAAAAGTATATCCTGGACTGCAAGATTTTGTTTGCCATAATATTAGATGTGGCATAAGGTAGTAATTATTTGATAAAAATCACCAGAGACACTGGCAAGTGGAGAAATATTGAGCAGCCCTATGCAGTGAAAGAATGCACAATAAAGTTAAAATAGTTGTAGTCAAGTTTCTTCTACAGATGTGCATGTTTTCAAGGTTGATATCCCTACCTTCTTGACACCAGAAAAGAGCAATAGATAATGGCTGAAAAAAGATCTCTCTCATTTAGCTAAAATTCAGTTGTTCCTGCCACCACCTTACCACTATTATTTGTTTGCAGATGAGTGGATTTTTGGGGTGTGTGTGTTTGTTTTTGGAGCACATCGTATCTGTTCCACCTTGGTCACCAAGGTTATGAGACACCATGGTCTAGTGCAAAGCCACTGCCACTGAGTGGGTAGAATCTGGACCTTTGTGCCTAGCAGTGTGAGGGGTTCCTCCTGGATCTTGAGTGTCACCTACCCACCTATGTGCACAGAATGCACAGAAAAGTGCACATTTTGAATTGTATTACTCATAAATTCACAGGAACATAGTAATTGTCAGACTGAGTCAGGCCAGTGACCCATATAGTCCAATATTCTGACTAACAGTCGCCAATACCAGTTGTTTCACAAAGAAGGCAATTGTGAAATTAAATGCTCACATAGAAAACTTCTTCTTGCTCCCCGTTAGAGGTTTGTTTATGCCCTGAAACACAAGGGAATAAGTCCCTTTCAAAATTCTTGGAAGGATTTTTGTTTCTTTGTTTCCTTTCTATCATTCAGTTTCAAGAGTTATGAACACCCATCGTGGCAATAGAAAGCACTGTACAAATAAAAATTTCAGTAGCATTTAACCATCTAGAGTGTTTCCTCCCACTCACGATCCGTATATCCACACATTTGCTATGTTGTGATAGTGTACTAATAATGACTGATAATATGTCCTTTATTCTCTGTATAAGATTATGTCTATGTTTATTAGAAAGCAGTGAAGTATGGCATGATTCTAAATGATAGAATCTTGCTTTATGCAGCATTATAGCTAGGATATTAGAAAGACTATGGGTGAAGCAATGTCTTTTATGGCACCAAATTCTGTTGGTGAGAGAGGGGAGCTTTTTGAGCTACACAGAGCCCTTCTTCAGGTCTGGGAAAGGTACTTGTAGTGTCAGAGCTAAATACAAGGTAGAACAGATTGTTTTGCACACGTAGGAAGCACATATTCTAAGAGACCTTTCAAGGTGGAGGGGCCTGTTAAAACCTCTGCAGTCATAGGACCAAAAAAAAAAAAAAGGACAGGGTTAGTAGGTTACAGATTGCCATAAATCCCATAGCTCTGTTCTGTCCATGAATTCTAGTTATGAGTGTAAATTCCCAGGCTTGTCTTTTGGAAGTGTTGTGAAGGTTTCCTTGGAAGATGAGACTTTAGTCAGATTGACTTGTGAGGATTGTTTTTGTCTTTTTCATTTTCCTGTGTGAATTCATGCAAGAGCATAATGATTGTCTGGTTTCACCCACATAGTGTGGCAAAGCTTTGGCTGTACCTGTGGGTCCTGCACTTCTGGTGGATAGTGTTCAGCCTCAGAGGCTTGCTATGTCCTGCCACACAGCCTCCTTTTTACTAGTAGGCAGGGTTCATGGCCTACTGAGCCATACTCATCACAGCTAGTCCATATTATGGACATGAGACCCTCTGTAGTCCTGGTCTCGCTATCCAGGGGGAGACTCTGTGGTGGTGCAGGGAAGGTTGGGTGGAACCCAGGTTCTGGCCCAGAGACTTGAAAGCAGGGGCAACAGGTGGGGTTTGTTCTATTCCTTGTCTGGCAGCTATTTCCCTGGACCATTTCCCCAAATAATCCCTCCCAGGACCTTTCCTCTGGTACCTGCTCCTCCAACACACTCTTCCTGCCTTGCAGCTCCCACCCAAACTCCTCTCAGCACCTCAGTTCCTTCTTTCCTCCTCACACCCCTCTCAACTAACAGAGGAGGAGCCCTTTTAAACCAGTCTCAACTGGTCTTTGATTGGCCCCAGGTGGTCTGATTAGCCAGACTTCTTTGGTTCTGTAAGGTTCCTAATTAGCTCCAGGTGTTCTAACTCACTTGCTTGTCCAGACTGCTTCTGGAAAGTTCCTGCTGGTTCTAGGCCAGCTCCTCCCAGTTTACTCAGGGAGCAGAGATCTACTTAATCTAGGGCTCACATACTTCCCTTCTAGCCCTCTTTTATATCTCTGACCTGATCCTGTCACAATAGGTATTATTGAAATATTTAGGCTATGTCTACACTGGCAGCTTCTTGCTTAAAAACAGCTATTCTTGCGCAAAAACTTACCTGCTGTCTACACTGCACGTGCATTCTTCCGCAAGTAAATTTACAGTATAGCGTTGTAAAACAGAAGAGTTATTCCTCTCCCCATGAGGAATAAGCCCTTTTGCACAAGAGCTCTTCCACAAAAGGGCAGTGTAGACAGGCAACATGAATTTCTTGTGCAAGAAGCCCCTATGGCTAAAATGGCCATCAGAGCTTTCTTGTGCAAGAGAGCGTCCGGACTACCATGGATGCTTTTGCACAAAAGCACATGCCAGTGTAGATGTGCTCTTGTGGAAGACTTTTTGCGCAAGAACTCTTCTGCAAAACAGGAAGAACTCTTCTGCAAAACACTTGGTCTCATGGTGCATTTGCCCAGAAATAGGTTGCCTAGTAAGGGGCCATCCTAGTACCAATGGCTATTTCTATAATCTGGATAAAGAGTTTGTTGTCAAATGTACGGTGGCTCTAGGTGAAGATGAAAAGGGATGACAATATGTTTGAGGTGGATATTTGAAGGTTGTCCAGTATGTTGAAAGTATTTGTAAATACTGGATCCTACAAATGCCTATCACAACATGTGGTGTAACTCATTCAATACATTAAGGCTACGTCTAGACTGGCATGATTTTCCGCAAATGCTTTTCACGGAAAACTTTTCCGTGAAAAGCATTTGCGGAAAATCATGCCAGTCTAGACGTAGCCTTAATGTATTGAATGAGTTACACCACATGTTGTGATAGGCATTTGTAGGATCCAGTATTTACAAATACTTTCAACATACTGGACAACCTTCAAATATCCACCTCAAACATATTGTCATCCCTTTTCATCTTCACCTAGAGCCACCGTACATTTGACAACAAACTCTTTATCCAGATTATAGAAATAGCCATTGGTACTAGGATGGCCCCTTACTAGGCAACCTATTTCTGGGCAAATGCACCATGAGACCAATGACATATATCAATGATATTTTTATTCTTTGCACAGGTGACTTAAACTTCCTCATAGATGTCTATCATAACTTCAACAAACATCTATCATCCACTAGCAGATTTACCTGGTGTTGCTTGAATCCTTAACTCAAATAAGTTTTGTTATTATTCATATAAATCATTGTTCTGGAGTGGGATTGGGGATGAGGGTTTCAGTATGCAGAATGCTCCAGGGAGAGAGGACACCCCAGCCCTCTCTCACTGCAGCAGCTTGGAGCCAGGTGAGAGGCCCCTGTCCAAAGCCACTGAAACAGGCACAGCTGAGGAAGAGGTGCGTGCCCCCAGATGGGGGACAGACAGACACACAAACTCTCTGAAATATATAGTAGATAGCTGTTCCTTTCTCTACTTCTGCCCCCTGCTGGCCCAATGGGGTTATAGCTGTCCAGATCCCCATCTCTGC